CAGTCCGAAGCAAGTAGTCCAATTCAAAAATGGGTTCAGAACGTGCTGTCAAATTTGGTCTGGCGATATAAGCAGCTACAGGAAGAGTTACTGTCTTGTCTAAAAACTGGTCTCTTCTTCGAAAGATGAATTCGACTCCAATCCAGATGACAAACAAAATCATACTGGAATTTTGTTTCCATTGTCAGCCTACACCGATATCAAGAAACAACTCCCTAAGGACGCAAGTATTGAGAAACAGCTTACCAAAACAAAGAGCTTTTCAAAGTGCAGGGAACGGGAGGCATGCGTGCATTCGTTAGGTTTAGGATGTGAAGGTGGATACTACAATCAAAACTTCAGTTTTCAGCCTCCGTGAGCAGCCGACGAGATTTGTGGGTGGGTGTTTTATCAACGAAGTCAGTGCAAAGTATTGAAACTTAAAAACTATATAGGTATTGTGCAGTTCACGTTAGTGCCAGTATTAAAGACACATTTTTTGTCTATATGTAAACGGCTAATCGCCATCCTTAAACTTATAGAGAAGCTTTTTTTATTTAGTAATTTCTTTAAAAACATTTTTTTATTTTTTTTAATATTGTATACTTAAAACATTTTTTATTATGAAACGTTAAGCACAATTTATTGCAATGTATAATAATTATTGTTAAAAGTATAATTTCATAAATCTTGAATTATCGCTGGGGTCCAGCTTTAGAGGTGCGGGGGAAGTGTCAAGGATGGAATTATTCGATATATAAAATAACATATTTAATATTAATATATTTCGTAAAATTAATAATTCGATTGAAAGGAAGTATAAAATAATTAAAGTTCATTGGCATTTACGCAACAAAAGTAAAGTTTTAAAAATCAAAGTTATAAGCATAATTGGCAATTGCGAAAATATTTCCTTTCAATACTACGAATTTATAAAATCATCAAATCAGCACTAACGCGGTCATCGCACCGGTCATCGCACCGATAGACCAATAATGCTGATTCGATGATTCGACGTAACGAACCAATAAATACAAAAATGTCACCTGTTGGGGGGACAGTGGATGGTCGACAGTCGATAGTCGATAGTAAGTTCGATAAGGTCGCGGTCGAGATTCCGGCATTGGCGTTACACTACCCTGACACTACCCCCGAGCCAGTGATGATGTTCGTCCATAAATATAATATGTAAGTACACATTTAGTTTTATAATTATTTTATTATTGTAGATTAATTAAATTGATCATTAAGTTAAATTGAAGTATTTATTATTTGCTATGCCCCTAGTCATAACCCACAAAATGGGCCGTGACAATACGTTGTAATTCTGTGTCCACGGAATATTGGGACACACTGTATATCGTAGTTAAGTGGCATGACGATATTTTAAAATTACGCTTTATACAATCAAATAATGATACTATTAAGATTAAATAATGTTCATTTCCAGCTAATAGAAACCAACTAAATTATCAAAACCTGAACACATGGTACGGTTTCGGTTTGTTTTGCCGAATTGGTAAAAATATTGAATCGATTGAATTGGCGCATGGTTTTCAGATAATCGATATAATTACAGTTGGGGGGTTGGAACATTTGGTGTTACAACAGAAAAATAAAACACTAATTCACCACAATATACCAAAACACTTTACTAGATGATTAAAACTATATTAACCATTTGCTGATGATGATGATGATGCTAACATAGTTAGCGAAATGTGCGTCCAGTGCAAAAGTAAAGTGTTATGGTAAGTAAAGAGGCAACAAAGTAATGAGATTTTTGAAGGTCCGGAGTGCGGAAGAGAGATGACATCACGTAACGGGCTTTTCAGTCACAGAAAAGCTCAAGAAAGTAGGCAGTAAGTAAGTAAAGTGTTTTAGTGTATTGTGGTGAATTAGTGTTAGTGTACTTTACTATATAGCCGATATACACACCGTATTGTATATAAGTACGTTACCAGAAAATGGTTACGCATGGCGTTTTCTTTCATGAGCTTTTCTGTGATATTTCTTTTTCGTGAAAAATATCCTTGTACCTTTTGAGTTGTCCACCCGGTTTCCTCTTACCGTCTACAAGTTCAACATAAAGAAGAGATTTCGGTAGGCGGTTTTCTTGCATTCTAAATACGTAACCAGCCCGTCTTAAGCGGGATTTAGTAATCATGACTTCAGCGCTATCGCAGCTAGCTTTTTCAAGGATCGATACGTTTGAGATTATAAATTATATTATAAGAAGTTTAGGCTTTTTCAATAAGTTCAATTGCTCAAGAATTTCTGATTCAATAACTTCCTTATATTTGACCCGAGTCCCCAAATATTGCATAATTTTTGGGTTGCACGCATTCTTTTCATCTAAGTCATGAAGAAATGATAAAAAATTAATTTGCACTGGCAGTAATCTGAATAACATTGCAGGTCAAATATTCTGCATCCACAAAGTGAACCACAATTTTGCAAAATGTACTATGTATGTATAGTATCAAGCAGTTCAACTGCCCCTGGTAGTAATAAGTAATGTGGCTAGAGGTGAAATACTATGTATATACTATATACAGGGTTGTTCACCACATACGACACGGAGTATTGTAGCCAAATGATTAGATTTTTACAAATTTTAAGTTTTGGGTTCGTTGAAGGACTATTAGAGCTACAATTTAGAAATAATTTTACAAGATACAGAATGTCCCAAATACATATAAAAATCAAAGTTGTATTTTTTTAAATGGAACACCCTGTATATTATTCTATTTTTAGATCCTACGATTGAAATAAAGGTAAATTTTATTAAGTATATATAAACTTAAACATACTTAAACCTTACCGTTTTTGAAATATTTTCAATTTTGTGAAATTGCAGTAAAAATTTTAAAGCTTCATTTCTCCAAGGGTATCAAGGTTTTTAATACTAAATATTTACTGAAGTTTATTTATTGATCAGTTATTGTGTTGCAATAATAAAAATTATACAACCTTATACAGAGTGTCTAAAATTTTATTTTAAATAATTACTAGCTTTAAACGGCAATAACTTGTTTAATTTAAATGGAACGCCCTGTATATTTTAGGAAAATCAGATGCATAATTTAATTGTTTATCAAATTGTATGATACCACTTTTTACCTATCCCTTCAAGTTTTCGTAGAAAATGCATTTTCTTATAATTTTGACCTGATTTATCAATATACCCATGGAATATTGAAATTTTAGATTGTTTTTAAAGCAACAAATGTACAAAATGTACAGGCTAGTAATATTACCGTTTTTAACAAAATGATAATATTACTAGCCCATTTGTATGCAAAAAGAAAACTATTTAAATCTTCATAAAAGAGTATACCATTAATTAAATATACCACCATTATTTCCGCCCAAATACTAATTAATTACATACTTAATTATGTTCGTGAATAGATTATTCTAAATAAATGTGGATTTGAATCAGAAATCAATATAATAATAAGTTATAAAAATAAATGTCTCTGTTGTTACAAATAAAGCATTTGTCAAAAAATGAAATATCATTTTTAAGTTGTTACATTTTACCACACTGTCTAATACACATAAAAAATTCAGTTTTTTAGTTTTTGGAGCAATTATTATTAATCAACGCAAACAGTCAATTAATGAATACTGGAATCAGATTAATTGGTCCTCTTTAACAAATATTTAAACAGATTTTTTTGTTTTTTAAAGAAATAAACAAACTATATCGACAATATTAGTATCTGTACTCTTTAAAAATTTGGTACATCTTTAAAAATAATCTAAAATGTCAGTATTCCATGGGTATATTGATAAATGAATTTAAAATTACAAGAAAATGCATTTTCTGCGGAAACTTGAAGCTATAGGTATAAAATGGTATAATACAATTTGATATACAATTAAATTGTGCATCTGATTCTCATAAAATATACAGGGTGTTCCATTTAAATTAAACAAGTTATTGCCGTTTAAAGCTAGTAATTATTTAAAATAAAATTTTAGACACTCTGTATAAGGTAGTATAACTTTTATTATTGCAACACAATAACTGATCAATAAATAAACTTCAGTAAATATTTAGTATTAAAAACCTTGATACCCTTGGAGAAATGAAGCCTTAAAATTTTGACTGCAATTTCACAAAATTGAAAATATTTCAAAAACGGTAAGGTTTAAGTGTAATAAACCTTTATCAAATTTACCTTTATTTTAATCGTAGAAACTAAAAATGCAATAATATACAGGGTGTTCCATTTAAAAAAATACAACTTTGATATTTTCTATTTATTTGGGACACTCTGTATCTTGTAAAAATATTTTTAAATTGTAGCTCTAATAGTCCTTCAACGAACCCAAAACTTACAATTTGTAAAAATCTAATCGTTTAGCTACAATACTCCGTGTCGTATGTGGTGAACAACCCTGTATAATAAAATTAAGTTTATTAGAACTGTTATAAAGTGGATATCAGTTGAGTTTACGCTACTCCGCACTATTCGCATTGGTCCGAAAAGCATTTAAATAAACTTATAAAAAATAGCTTGCATCATTTGAAGGCGAAAAAACCGACGATGTCCATTTTATGAAATTTCTAAGTAATAAACCTAATTTGTTGGGAATACCAATAAGTCCCAAATACAGGTTAAATTGTAATTGAATATAACAAACGATGTCCAAATAATAACACATACAGTAATACATTTTTGTATCTTTAACATAGTATTTGGCAATATTAAATCATCGTTTTCAATAAAATCAATTTGTAGAGAATTCAAAGCTCTAGTTTTTCAAAAAAATGCAATGATTTACAGCGTAATATTTACGAAAAACTGATTTTTTCGACCATCTTTATTATCATGAAGATGCGCGCGTGATACTTATTGCGACTTGTGATACCACTATATTTATAGTAACACTAAAAGTGTCAAAATATTTTTTTGTTTGGGCATATAAATTTTCAGCTTCTTTTTTTTTTCAATTTCGAGGCTAACACTCTTTTATAGCCTAAGGTAACTACTACTAATAAAAATGCATTGACAGAGAAGACAGACATTTTATTTTAAATCAAGAGTCTCACTGCTGGTACATGGTGTATCCATGTTAATAGATATTTCTCCATCACCAATCAGTTGATTTTCATGTGAACTTAAATACACCTCTTCTGTAGCTTGTGAAGAAGCTTCTATATTTATCACAGACTCAAAATTTGTTACCGAATCATTATCACTTAGTGTTTCATTCTCGTTTCTTTGTGGATTAGGAGTATTATTTGGCACCAAACCTATATGCTCATCATTACCAGTATGTAGAGATATTGAACTTGGAGGTATGTATCTATATATTAATAAAAGACATAATAAATAATATAGATCACAAAGTTAAGACAGGTCGTATCACCTAACAACACAGGATCTCTGCCACCAGTTGTACCACATTCTAGCATGTAGCCGAATTACAGAATAAACCCATAAGTAATACCCAAACAACATAATTACTATCATGATCAGCAATGATATAGAAGTCCATCTAGCTGCTGGAATTTGTGAAAATTTCTGCTGGCTATAGTACTCTGACGAATATAAACATACATATGTTACTATAATAGCTAAAGGTGTAATAACCTACAATATGTTTGTTATATTAGAGTGTAGATAAATAGCTTTTTTTCAAAAATTATATTAGTTTTATTCTTGACACCTACTGTACATGCTATAATATCCCCTCTTACACCTTGACCAGGATATCGAGAACCATAAAGCAGCCATTTCCAAATTGATTTTGAAGATTTGTATTTTGGAGTTCTTTCAGTCTTAAAAATTTGATGACATAATTCACATATTGTTGTACCCGATTCGCTTAACCAAGTCTCTAAGCAAGATCGATGAACAAAAGCAACTGTACCCTTAAAATTAAGTCTCATAAATTTTAAGGGAACATATAAATATTGGTGTATAAAATTCATCTAGAAATATATACTAGTTACCTTACAGTGACAAGGTGCTATGAGTTCTTCTGGCTTCTCATTGTCATAGCAAATTCTACAATGTACTGAGGCAACTGATAATTTTCTGGAAGGAATCTGATATTCTATTTTAGGACTCTGCCCTGTTGGTTCATTTACTACAATTACTTCTTCCATTGAACAGTTTGATGCTATTAGAAATTCATTACAGCAGTTTAAACAACAGCACTTAAACTCTTGAGATTTTGTTTAAATTAAAAAAAAAAGTTAAATTCAGACAGTAAAAAATACTTGACAATAGATCATAATGAGAAAAAAAATACAAATTATATTAAGTAGAAAACCCTGATTGGTATTATCTGGTATTATCTCAAACTCAAATAGTATTATTTAAAATTATTAATTTGTTATTTATTTTTAAACCTGTCAAACTGACGTGTTTTGTCATTTTTGAAAAGTAAACTTTCATATTGGTATTGGTTAGACGACTAATAATACGTAGTTTTGTATTACTAGTTGCCTGCAGGGCCTTCTTAACGACTGGACTACTGGACTCTATTATAATCTCTAGTCTTGTATAGAGTCAACTGTAGTTTCTGGGAGTCACTGGAGTGACGTCATCATCACTGGAGTGAGTCGTCGAGGTCACTGGCTACCAGACTAAAGACACAGATAACACAGATTATGTGTTATCTGTGCTAAAGAATACAAGAGATCTACAGGAATGCTACAGGCGCTACAGGTTTGCTACAGGTTCAGCCAGCCATAATGGATGGCCTCTTTTTGTGATTAGTGTTATTTGTGCATTTTTCCCAAAATTTCATCGATAATTTGAGTGTTTTCTATTATACCACAAAAACATTAAAAACCATGGTGTCGTGTTCTGTACACAGTTGTAGGAGCAGGAAAGGTATCGACTCGAAGAAATTCACCGGAGTCAAGGTTGCACCGGAGTAACATTTCACAGGTAAGGTAGACACTAGATAAGTCCGTAAGGCAGCCAAACGCAGCTACTACAAAATTATCGATAAAAAAATAAATATTACATTAGCTCAAGGCAAATTTTAGTCATTGTTTGCTATTATTATTATTTGAAGTTTTGCCCTTGGTTTTGGTTTTACCTAAGGTTTTACCCTTGTTTTACCTACTCCGGTCCTGTCCAAATCCAAGTAGTCTCATTTTGCCCCGCCCTCTGATACCATTTACAGAAATACGTATAGTCACAGGTCACAGCGTATAGTTGGTCTCCCCTCTCTATACCTCCGTGTCTAAGATCTACTAAAATCTAAAACCCACTCTAACCCTATTTTTTAAAGGTATTTCTGAAATATTCAATATTCCTATTTTTTCGACTTTTAATAATAAAAACATTATTTTTTATTTTATTCAGCCACAACAGAGGCCACAATAGTTATGGCGGACGAAGAAAACAAGGTGTGTTAAACTATCGTAGGTCTTAGAACTATAATTTCATAGATTAAAAACTGTATTTAAATAAAAATTTGTTTGGATATAGTACATTTTTAATAAATTGATTCTCTTGCGGTGATAAATAGCAAAATTATTATATCATGAACTGAAAATATACGTTTTTTGCAGGGTATTATTATTTTTGGAAGAGATGTTTCAAAAATACCATGTTTTCGAAATAGCTTCTTATATGGTATTGGTGGAGGAGTACTTCTTGGATTAACACATTTTTTGTTTACTAGTAAAGCAGTGAAATCGGTAAATTATTCCGTGTATTCATTTTCTATTATTACACTAGGATATTGGATTCAATGCAGGTATAATCGATACATTATCAATTATTACTATACTTAAAATATAATAATGATTTTTAGATACGAATATACAAAAACCAAATTTGAAATGTTACGTTTACAAGAAGCACTAGCTAACAGAGCCTTATTTGAAGGTACTGAAGAAGATAGACCAAAAGAAAAACCAGAACTAGTAGATGTGTAGAATTTTAAATATTAACCAGAAAAAGAGGTGTTAGATACCAAATTGTAGAGGATAAAGCATGTACAAATTAAATGTATATAGCTATAGTCGATCTATGATATAGTAATAAGAGAATGTTAAAGTTTTAAGAAGGATATCTATTGTGAGATATATATATATTGAGATATACAGGGTCCGGCAATAGTGCGTCGGGCATCTGTTGCTCCTAGAATAAAAAACTTGAGAATTTTGTTTTAGTGCAAACTTAAGGTATGTACCAGGATGTATTTCAGGAAAATATTTTAACTTCTATAGGGTGGCTCAAAAAAGTGTGGGCGGACCTGGATAATTTTTTTTAAATGGAACACCCTGTATATTATTGCATTTTTGGCTTCCTTTCAGATCACTTTACATAACCCTAAGATATAAATAAATATATTTCCATAGTTTCAGAGATATTAAAAAATAAATCAAAAATATATATTTTTCAGCCTTTCTTTAAAAAAATTATTAAAAATACAAGAACTGTTCTGAAATCAAAACGATATTAGGTATTTACTTTAGATGGTCTGTTCTTACTTTGCTATAAATATGGTAATCGTAATTCATACAGGATGTTCAATATTCTACGCCAAACTTTCTAAAATATAAAATATTTTTTCTTTGTTTTTTTTAAATGGAACACCCTGTATATTATTGTTTTATTAGATGGAGAGTTTAAAAATGAACATTTTTTGTATTTAGAGTATTTCAAAATTTTTAACGGTTTCGCAGATACACGCAGTATTATTTCATACGGCGCTTTCAATGCTAAAATACGAGAGAAAAATTATTGGGTGGCTTTGATAAAAATTTACCGTGGAAAATGCCATATGAAACATAAAACCGCAAACATCTGCGAAACCGTTAAAAATTTTGAAATACTCTAAATACAAAAAATGTTCATTTTTTAATTCTCCGTCTATTGAAAAAATAATATACATGGTGTTCCATTTAAAAAAAAGAAGAAAAATTATTTTATATTTTAGAAAGTTTGGCGTAGAATTTTGAACATCCTGTATAATTTACGATTTTCATATTTATAGCAAAGTAAGTACAGACCATCTAAAGTAAATACTTAATATAGTTTTGTTTTCAGAACAGGTCTTGTATTTTTAATAATTTTTTTAAGAAGGGCTGAAAAAAATATATTTTCGATTTATTTTTTAATATCTCTGAAATTATCAAAATGTTTTTATTCATATTTTAGAGTTATCTAAAGTGATCGGAAAGGAAGCCAAAAATGTAATAATATACAGGGTGTTCCATTTAAAAAAATTCATCCAGGGCCACTCACACTTTTTTGAGCCACTCTATAGAAGTTAAAATATTTTCCTGAAATACATCCTGGTACATACTTCAGGTATGCACTTAAACAAAATTCTCAAGTTTAGGAGCTACAGATGCCCGACGCACTATTGCCGGACCCTGTATTTTTCTAAGAAGGATATGCCTCTTGTTTTGTAATTATTTATTTAGATTTTTGACAAAAATGGATAGGAGCCTGAAAAAGCATGTATTTATTAAAAAATATATTTCTAAATAGAAAAATATATACATATGACATACATATATATAAAACATTGATAATACAAACATAAACTTAATTATAAATATATTGTGTAACAACTTCAAAAACACTGAAACAATTAAAAAATAGGATTGTTGCTTTATAATGAACATATTTAAATATAATTAAACATAATTAACATTTATAATCACTGATTAAATTGATTAAAAAGAGCAGTGAACAATTTGTCTTGTTCTTGATGTATCATCAAATTCATTTTTGGAATTGTTACAGCACTGATCATTGTTCTTCAACATATAATTATAGAAGAAAATCTATACATATATCTTTGTCAGTTCACTGAATTAAAATAGTAGTCTAGAAAATTGTCAATTAAAGTAGTAAAGCTGATGTCTTCCTACTGAAGTTTATTTTTTCCAGCCAATAAGCTTATCTATAACAACATGACTATCATCAGATCCATAAAGTTCCATTTTCTTGTCAAAATCTGTCAAGCTTTCAGGATTATTTAAAGCTGTGTCCATAAAGGCGTGAAACATACACGTTTCTGTAAACATTTTTAAAAAACGCCTTACACCTTTTGTTTTTCCATTTGCCATAAATTGATCCTTCTATAAAATATTTATTTTGAAATAACTAATAGACCATGTCGTCCTATTGCTGCCAAAAGTCACTAACTTACTTTTTATTACTTCCGAGAAAAGTGCGTCTAAAGATGAAAATTGCATTGCATAAAGATGTTATAGTTAGTAACTATTCGGTATTAAAATAAAACATACATAGCCGGAAATCGTAGTTAATGACTTTTGCAATCGATTCTCCGCTTCAAAACATAGTTAGTGATTGAATTTGGTTGTTCGGAAAAATGTTAGTGACTTTTGGTAGCAATAGGTAGCAAAAATAAAGTAATCGCAAAACAATCTCCGACGCACGTGATTAACTTTAAGTGACAAGCGATGGCGACATCGCTGCCAGATTGTGATGGATTTATGAGATGAATCTTTTTTTTCACGTTTTTTAATTGCTTCCATTTTTAAAAATTTTTGTATTCCTTTTCATAAGTTATTCGGGATTTAAATGGAAGTAGTTTGGATATGGCGTTTGTCGCCTCAGCCTGAATATCTGTTGGTAAGTTACTTATTTCGTTTTGAGCCATTCCTGGCTCCAATTCAATCAGCAATCGACACGAAAGAGAATTAAAAAATATTGACTCAAAACTGACAACTAAAGAGACAGCTTTATTTATTCGTCAAATTACATAGAAACCAATGTCAACTGTCAACCCAAACCAAACCAAACCAAACTAAAGAGACAGCTTTATTTATTCGTCAAATTACATAGAAACCAATGTCAACTGTCAACCCAGCATAATATTTTTTCTACTCGTAATAAATTCCTTGAAATAATAAATTCTTTCTAAAATATTTTTTAGAACGTAACTCGCTATAGGAAATTATTAATGTAAAATTGGGAAACAGTATATCAGGTGTCTAAATGCAAAACCCGACAAGTCACACATTTTTGAAAACTGAGTTCTATACACCTTTTAATTCGTTATCCCAAGAAAAACTCTGAATTACATTTTTATGCAAGATATTTGCAAAAAATACTGCGCTGGATAAATTAAGTATTTAGATTTATTATTCTTTTTAATATTCATATTTTAAATAATTTTTTGTGTATTCTGTAAAATTTATTTCGATGGGTTTTGCATTTAGACGCCTGATATTTATTATACCATTTTTTAAAGATTTTTACGTTTTTTTAATTTAATAGTAAGTGATTTTAGTAAGTTATAGTAAACGCCACGAATGTTTGGGAGTGATTCATCGCATGATGAAGTTAGAATCGACACGCGCGCTATCATTTTTACATTAAAAACGTAAATTTCTACCGCCGACGTAGGTTTTTAAAGGCCCGGTTTAATCATCTGCCTGCGCTCCTTCTACTTATTCTAAAATGTTAGCGTGAATGACAAAGACGATACTATATCGCGTTTCTTTGATTGATTCGTTTTTGTGCGTCAGTCCATTGGTGTGCTTGCAGTGCGACCAGTGGGGCATTCCAGTTTATATTTATAACCAAATATATGTTTTGACAAGACTTTGATAGTTTGCTGGAATCCTTTTTTAAGTAATTTGTTACTAATAAATATTTTTGTAATATTCATCAATAATAATAAATTTAAAATTTCATGCACAAAAACATAAACAACAGATTATATATATTGATTATTATATGACTTGAAACACCACGACACTGGAATTAAATTTTATGTGACCTTGAACAGATTAGTTCACATGGTAGCGACCGATGAATCACTCCCAAACATTCGTGGCGTTTACTATAGTAAATAATTTATTTATTAATAGTAGTCACTAACACAGCAATATTTAAATTTAAGGTAGCAGCTACTTGCTACAAATCGAAATAAGTAGAAATAACTTTGAAAGTGGTATAATGTGCTTACCAATTAAACTTACTTCTCTGACTGCAGTCAAGGGTAATAAAAGACCTTTATTGTCACGTTCTCGTTCAAAATAGTTTATCAGGAAAGCTACATGCTCTTTGCTTCGACTGTTTGAATGCTTCGGCATATTTTCGACACACAATTACAAGAAATGCAATACAAAAACTCGAAAATTTAGTTCTTAAAAGAACTGCTTGTGCTTAAATATACAATTTTTAAAAAGACTATAAAAATCGGCAAAAAACGAGAATTTCTCCCAAAGATTCAACAACAACAAGACATACAAAATAATGACTGATATTATGATAATTGTCAAATAATAAACGATAAAGATGCTGATCGCGGTGCAATGTGACCAACATGGCGATAAGAAAAGTCGCTTTAAACTAATTTTTGCAGCTTCAATCTAAATAAAATATCTGTTACAATTATTTGCTCTATGAAGTAAAATCAAGGGTTACTTGCAAATTTGTCAAATTTTTATTGATGGGGCGCGTCGCCGTTGTCTAATTTCTTACAAGAAACATCGATTAAACGGTAACAGAGAAAATCGTTTCCCCCTTATGGATGCCCCGTAGCACAGAATATCTAGCTACGCAACAGAAGCCTCGTTACATGTATAAAATTGTAGGTAGCAAAAGGAGACAGGCTTTAAAAGCCTGTCTCCAAATCAGATATTTTGATGTGGTAGTTTCGCTACTACATAATAGAGGGCAATAAATTTAAAAGAAAACAGTTTTCTACAAACAAAATTTAAAGAATTTTGTGCAGTTTTGCCATTATTGTAATTCATATCGTAATACTTCCTGATAAAGCCTACCTTCAAATTTGCTACATCATTTAAACATATTAAAATAGATCAGAACTGTTTTTTTCAGTTTGCCATGTTAGTTGGAATTAAATCTTATGAGCTAAATTACAATCACTTCTTGACGTTTGATTGTATAATTGAATCCTGAATTTTCATTGTAATTCGGCGACAATATAATAAGTATTGTTCTACTATTATGATACCACTTCCTGACGTTTGATTGTGTTCATACCAAGTTCATATCGTATAATCGGGAAAAAACGGCGTTAGCGATAGCTATAAAATGAATATCGCTGTCATTTTATATGTAAATTTATATGGGAAATGTCATCGATCGTCCTTTTCCAGCCACTGGACGCCGTTTTTTTCAGAAGCATATCAAGTGATACAATAATATAGTACTATATTACGATACATGGCGTTCGATTGGGCTTAAACTTGGTATACTATATCTTCAGTGACATTGTAATATCATGGTACCATGGAGCATATAAAGTGGTACCTTCTATAGTACCATATTTGATGACATAGCAATATTAGGTACATGGCGGCAATAGGGCTTAAACTTGGTATACTACGTATTTTCGGTGACATTGTAATATGATGGTACTATGATGCACATCCATATGGTACCATAATATAGTACCATATTATGTACATGGCGTTCGATTGGGCTTAAATTTGGGATACTACGTATCTTCGGTGATATTGTAATATTATGGTACCATGGAGCATAATAAGAGGTACCATAATATAGTACCATATTACGATACCATTGCCTGGCGTTCGATTGGGCTTAAACTTGTTATACTACGTATCTTCGATTACATTGTAATATGATGGTACTATGATGCATATAAAGTGGTACCTTAATATAGTACCATATTTCAATACCATTTCCTGGCGTTCGATTGAGCTCATATTTGATATATACTTGCGTATTTTTGATGACATTGCATTATTATGGTACCATGAAGCATATCAACTGGTACCATAATATAGTACTATATTACGTACATGGCGTTCGATTGGGCTTAAACTTGGGATACTACGTATTTTCGGTGACATTGTAATATGATGGTACTGTGATGCATATAAAGTGGTACCTTAATATAGTACCATATTACGATACCATTTCCTGGCGTTCGATTGGGCTCAAACTTGGTATACTACGTATCATCGGTTACATTGTAATATGATTGAACTATGATGTATATAAAGTGGTACCTTAATATAGTACCATATTACGATACCATTTCATGGCGTTCGATTGTTCTTAAATTTGGTATACTACGGATCTTCGGTGACATTGCAATATTATGGTACCTTAAAGCATATCGAGTGGTACCATAATATAGTATACTATTATGATATTATTTCCTTGAGTTCGATTGGGCCCAAATTTGGTATACTTGCGTTTCTTTATAAAGATTTGTTTAATTAATAATTTTAATTTATTTTACGAATTTTAATTTATTGTTCGATGTCGTGACAGCAACTTTTATGCCGAACTAATATATTATTAATTGTACCTGTGTCACTTTTTAAAATTTACCTAGGCGGTACCTAGGTATATAAATAACGTAGCAAACGGACAACAATCGAAATTTGTTATTATAGTATTTTTTAGTCAGTTAACATTTTTTGTACTGCATTTTAATAAATTATTTCCATTATTATTAAACTTATATTTCATTACTAACGTTCCAGCATTAATAAATATCACTATCAATCGCCCTGTATATTATTAATTTTAAAGGTAATTAAAGATATTTTCTTAGTTAACATTATAAGATAGTGTATATAAAAAATGTATATGTTTTGTAATAATATACTTAAAACTATTTTAATAGCCAAAGGAATAATTAATATAAGTGGATCTGACAAAGAAGAAGAAGAATAGAAAGAAACACATACTGCATTATACATAATAAAAAGAATGGGATGCCAATTCAAGTCTTTTTGAATCTGGCAACTGTGCATATTTAGCCGAGCTTCAAGGCCGTCGACGTGCCGTCGATCCAAAACCGAAAATTGAAAATTTCCAATTATATTCTGATTATGATATTGTCGCGCCATCTAGTATTTTATTTGTGCAATTTTAGCTCTTTCATTTCGAGTATTTTTCTGTTGCGTAGCTAGATATTCTGTGCCCGTAGCTACAGAACGGACAGACGTACTGTACTTAAAATTTTGAAAACAATATGAAGTGATCTCAGACACCCTAAAACACATATTTGACATATAATGATGATGTAACGTTGACAGATGGCTGAACAGTCTTTATATTATAATGAGATTTAAAAACTCACTGTAAGGTTTGTTAAATTTTAATAACAAATGCAATGCATATTAAAATCCAACAAATCTTCCGGCGAATTTAAATCTCATTATAACATAGGTGCGCAGAAAACTCTATTTTTAAAGTAGTTTTCTGAAAACTCCTAAAGCAAGTAAATGAGTAAATTTTTGTCAATTTCTGTTCTTAATTTTTACAAGGGAAATATTAGGTTTGTTCCAACCTGGCCGCAGAATCGTCACCGAACGTTCACGCTCGTGCGCAGTAATTCAAATGTGTTCCAACCGAGATTTGCCGGTTATCGGACGATCCTATTTGCGTACCAACTTACCTTGGGATCGTTTAGTTAGGATTTCAGAATGGTAATTTCGGTACATGGTCCAAATTGAGAACTGTTTGGGTTGAGTTGCGCATTAAACCATATTGGCACGGATTATCGATTTTTAACAGCTGATTCTGGTCCGGCATCCAGCTGATGCTTCTGTTTTGGTTATTTTTTACGAATTCGAATACGTGTGCATTATACTTTTGCTTGTGAGTTTGTGTGGAGTAAATCGTTCGTAAATTTTAATTAATTTTTTATTTATAAAATAATATTCATAAATTCTACCACTGCAATGAAATAACAGGAAACTGCGCATAACAGAATCATAAAAGAGAGGATAGGTAAGTGAGTTAGTGAGTATACAGTTGAAACAACACTTACCAATAATTACTGGATTTTGATTCTTCATTTCAAGAATAATAATTATTATTGCAAATTGCAAACAAAAATAATAGGGTTATGTTATGAAATTCTAAACAAAAACAAAAAACCGATCGATACACGCACGCTTGACACTTTTGACAGTCCCGAAAACAATCCACAAAGCGTTCCAACGTTGATATTTTCTGCACCGTCACGAAACTATTCGAAGTCCGCGCATGCTAACCAAGTGCAAGAAAACCGATTTGAGTATGTTTTCGAAACGATCCCGAAATGCTGGTTGGAACAAACCTATTGTGTATATAGATACTCTAATTACTTTGGTAACTTACCAAAAATTGACCATCCACAACACATTCTTTGTAATTCTTCAAACAATAAATAAAAACATAGAGATATGCATTAGCTAAATAAGAAGAGTAGACATATTCTTGAGTTCTTATGTTGTTTGCTAATGTCATAAACTGCCTCCAAACTTTTTGCATACTTCCACTTAGTATCTTCGTTTCATCTCCTTCTTCTGATAATACCGCTTTAGTATCTAGGTTTACTACAATACCCTAAAATAAATTGAATTATAATTTTCTCAAAAAATATATTACTTTTATATTACATTCTCTATTTTCCTATTGAGAACAGCTTCAGGGGACAAAACACCACAAACTACAGGTGTAGGACTTTCCACAATATCCCAAAGAGATTCTGGTAGTATTGGAATAAACGTATGGTACCACGTGAATGGATATAATATACTTTGCAAAGAATCAACACATGATGAAAGATCGCTATAAAAAATTACAAATTACCGCAATTATTCAATATTATTTTGCTGCTACTGACCTGATTGTTGAACTTATTAAAATAACCTTTCGTTCTAATAACAGAGATGAGAATATTTTTAGTAGAATATCAGATGGTAAGTTATGTAGTCGTTTCAAATCAGCATCCTCATACCGCATATCGATATGTAATGTTAAAACGAGTTCTGTCTTGGAACCTAGTACATATTTTAATTATCAAAATAAATTTAAAAATTCTATTTTACGAAAAAAATACCTTCATATGAGACAAAACTGGGATTTTCATTTGATGCTTGCCAGTCATTCTTTGAAATAAATATGTCAGTTTTTTTAGCACTATTTAAACATCCATATTCTCCAGTTTTGTTGACTACAAATATAAATTGTAAGTTTAATTTAAGGATATTAAATATCCACTACTGTTTTGCATTCTAGCGCACTCGAATCTCAATTCTCTGGTACTAAGGCAGAACCCGATATGTTAACATTATTTCCCTATTGACATATCGGGTTTTGCCTTAGTACCACAGAACCGTAGTTAAGGCGTTTTTCGTTAACATGGCAGTATATTTTTAAGTATAAATTATATAAAAGAAAAATCATACAAAAACTAACAAAATAACTATCCAAACTAATTAAATGTTAGCGACAATTTTGTTAAAACTAAAGACTATTTCTATACCTATATGAAAAATACTCACCATGTATATAACTTGTGAGGTCTAGGCCGTCTTCAAACCTATTATGGCATTCAGTATCACGTGGTTCAATGGAAGACAAATTTATTACTATGCTTTGTCCAGGTTTAGGGAATTTTTTGTGATAAAATTGGCTTATCAAATTATCACGATGCTTGTTTTGCATACCATGTCGAGATTCTAGTTCTAAGAGTATCTTCTGGTAAAATCTAGGTGCTCTAAAAAATAGAAATTATGCGTATAAATTTAAACGTCCTTAAAACATTTATATTTTCGTACATGGCATCTTTTAAACGTAAATTTGTGATGGGTGTCTACAAGCTTGGTGCATTCTCCGAAGGTGCTGCCCCCATAGGAGAATTCCAGAAACAACCGTTATACAAATACACGAGCTTAAATAGCTAGTACACGAAAAATTTGTTATAATAATTATCAGTTGGAAAATATTAGTAAGTGCAATTTGTGAAAATTCAAAAAAAAAAAATATAAAAGGTAAATTTTTTAGAACGTGTAACGCAAAATAAAACACCAAAGCCGGAGTCTCATGCATCCGAAATCCGATTGTACGACAATTTGAAGTTATCCTGTGAAATAAAAAAAAACTGTCACATACATCCGAAAGTTCGTTCCGAAATTTGACAGTTTTGATATTTAGACCTGTCATTCTTATCAACAGTAACAACATTAATTTTTGGTTATGGTAGAGACAATCCTTGATTGGAGAAACCACTTATAAAAATAACTTCCTCGCCAAATATCCCAAAATTGCCAATTCCCACTAAACTTGTTTTTAAAAACCTATGTTTTCAAAAAAATGCGGTTAAAAAACACACGATATCGTACAAAAGTTAAACAAAATGTAACTTTATACGACGTCGTACGATTAGTTAAAAATATCGGATAAAAATTGGTGTCAAAATATTTCGACCAATAGGAGCACCGTCGGATCGTCGTGTTATCGGATTTCGGATGCATGAGACTCCGGCTTCTTCTTCTTCTTCTTCAAATGCCTTCTTAGTTGCGAAGGTTGGCAATCATCAGTGCTATACGTATTCGTGACACAGCCGACCGAAATAGTTGGTTTGTGGTGCACCCGAACCAGTCACGTAAGTTTCTCATCCATGAGTGGCGCCTTCTTCCTACACTTCTCTTTCCTTGAATTTTTACTTGTAATATCAGTTGGAGTAGGTGGTACTTTTCTCATGACGTGTCCAAGGTACTGAAGTTTACGCTTTTTTACCGTTATGATAATTTCTTTTTCCTTTTTTATTCTTTTCAGGATTTCCATGTTGGTCACTTTATCGGTCCATTTTACCCTAAGTATTCTACGGTACAGCCACATCTCGAATGCCTCTAGTTTCCCTATGTCAAGTTTATTCAGAGTCCAAGCCTCTACACCATAATACAGCACCGACAAAACATAGCATCGCACCATTCTGATTTTTAAATCCAAGCTGAGATCGCTGCCACAGAGCATTCTTTTCGTTTTCACAAATGTTGGTCTCGCCTGTCCTATTCTAGTTTTAATTTCTTCAGAACAGTCGTTATTTTTATTTACAATTGTACCTAAGTATTTATAACTGTCAACTTTTTCTATGTTGTGGTTATATATGAATTTGTGAATTGTTTTGTGTTGTTTTGGATATTATCATAAATTTTGTCTTTTTTACATTTAGTGACAGTCCGAGCTCTTCACTCGAAGTATTAACTTTATCTACTAATATCTGTAAATCGTTTAGGTTGGCAGCCATCAGGATCGTATCATCCGCATATCTTATATTGTTGATAGGCACTCCGTTAATTTTTAGTCCTTTCGTTTCATCGTCCAATGCTCGTTTCATTATTTCCTCTGAATAGAGGTTAAATAACATCGGTGATAGCACGTACCCCTGCCTAACGCCTCGACGGATTTCTATTTCTTCGGTGTTATTCCCTTCTATTTTTACCACTGCTTTTTGATTAAAATAAAGATTCGTAATAATTTTTATATCTCTGGTGTCTAAGTTCTTTTCTTTCAGAAGCTGGATAAGTTGTTCGTGTCTGACCCTATCGAAGGCTTTGTTGTAATCAATGAAACATATATAGAGATCCTGATTCATATCCATACATCGTTGGGCGAGAACGTTCAAAGCAAATAGTGCTTCTCTTGTGCCTAAGCCATCTCGGAAACCGAATTGAGTCTCGCTGTTATCCTGTTCTAATGTTTTGTAAATCCTGTGATGTATCACCTTCAGAAGTATTTTTATCGTATGACTCATTAGACTGATTGTTCGAAAGTCTGTGCATTGCCTTGCATTATGTTTTTTCGGGATAGTGACGAACACTGATAACAACCATTCCCTGGGTATAATACCTGTTCTGTATATGGTGTTGAACAGATCTGTTAGACTGTGTATGTTTTCCTCTTCTATCAACTTGAGAATTTCAGAGGGTAACTCATCAGGCCCTGCGGCTTTTCCATCTTTTGTGATTTTTATAGCATGGATGACCTCTTCTTTAGTTATTTCCGGTCCACTGTTTTCTTGTTCTGTTACTATTCTGTTTACATCTCTCTCATCATCGAACAATTCTATTATATAATTCTTCCACGTTCTTAGTTTTTCTTCCATTTCCATAATGATTTTGCCATTCTGGTCAGTGAGTATTGACGGTTGTCTTTTTTTCTGTAATCCTGCCAGTTGTTTTAGTTTCTTGTGGACATTGAAGCTGTCATGCTTTTCTTGAAGGGCTTCTATTTCGTCGCATTTTCTTTTGTAGAACACCTCTTTTGCTTCTCTCATTTTTGTTCGGATTTCTTTCTGAATATTCTTATATGCGTCGTTGTTGTCTTTTACACCACGTCGTTCGTTCATCAATTTCAAAATTTCTGGAGTCATCCATTCCTGTTTTTTCCCTATTTTCTGTTCTGTCAGAATGGTCTTGCTCGGCTCAATTAATGCATTTTTTAAATCTTCCCATTGTTTGTCCGTGTCTTCTTCCGTTGTTATTTGATTGTTTTTGAGGGTTCTGAGGTTATCGTTGATCTTATTTTGTAGCCTTTGCCTTAGTGATGGGCAAAACTGTTATTTTTAGATAACAGTTGAAACTGTTATAGTTATTTATAAAAAACAGCTTAAAATAACAGCTTAAAAATAACAGGTTTCTTTATTTTATTGCTAAATATCTGAAAGAGTATGAAGCGGTCGCCGCCAGGCGTATTAACGCAGTTGCAAGTTGCTACAATGACATGCTCGGTGGTAGTATTTCCAGGGTGTCTAAAAATTTCTAAATATCGATTGTTATCTAAAATACCTCTCTAAAAACGGTCGTTGTTTACAAATAAGCGCTGTTTACAAATTGCGATATAAAAAAGCCAAAATTCCGCCACTCGTCTATACGTATACATTCCGATCTACCTACGCCTTGCCCCTCGATCGGCGTAGATCCTGAATTGCGTAGCAGTGTACAGGGTGCATCTCACTCGACGGGCAAGAAGCTCTTAGTTATAATTTTACCATTTGTGGTCAAAAAATAGCAATATAAGAAAATGTGTAGTATATTCTTCATAAGTAAACCAACTATACACTAGAGTTCGAATTAATTTTACACTTAAACTAGCGTGTACCCGCGACTTCGTTCGCGTCGAATTAATAATTTGTAATGGTGATGATAAAGCAAAGCAAGAATTTCTATTGACATACAAACTGGATAAAATTTTCTCACATTTGCCAAAAATAAGCTTTAAACGTCGAGCAGTTTAAGCAGAATCGTGGTTAATCAATTACTCAACTTTTTGGAACACCCTGTATTATTTTTTAAAAAATTTCAAAATATGTAAAAAAACAAAATAAATTATGCGTGTCCAAGCGTTTTCCCGAAAGACTAACCGTTTTTTAAATAACAAATATTGTAATATTTGAGGGGCGTTTTCACCCTCTTGGAATTTAAGATTCGAGAAACCCCTCCTTATCGAACCTCAACCCCACAGTCAATCCGTTTGCCAAAAATCAGCTTTAAACGTCAAGCAGTTTAAGCAGAATCGTGATTACTCAATGGTCACATTTTATGAAACACCCTGTATATATTTTTAAAAAATCTTAAAATATGTAAAACAACGAAATAAAATATACGTGTTTAAGAGTTTTTCCGGAAAACTCACCGGTTTTTAAATAAAAAATATTCTAATATTTGAGGGTGGTTTCACCCCCTTTGAATTCGAGTTTCGAAAAATCCCTTCTTATCGAACCTCTACACCCTAAAGTCAATCCGTTTTCCAAAAATCAGCTTTTTACGTCAAGGGCTTTAAGCAGGATCGTGATTAATCAATGACCAGATTTTTCAAAACACCCTGTATACATTTTTAAAAAATCTTAAAATATTATTCTGAAAATTTTTCAGAATAAATAAATACCTAAATATTGAAACTTAATAACGTACTGAAACATACAGCGCCATAATATCTCGACCTCCGCCCGTTATGCTCGTAACAGGTTGAAAAACAATATATCTAAAACAACTGATGCGTTATTCTCCAACCTGTTTCGAACTTCCATCGACAATCGACCGATGCAGCAGCCTTCCTTTCCCACTCCTGTTATCTCGACCGCCAGGCGTTATGCCCGCAACTGTTTCAAAAAACCTGCTTCTTTTATATCCTATTATTTTTAAGCTGTTATAAGCGCAATACGACCGTCGACGGGATCGACCGAAGCAGCTACGTTCGCCGTAGCGCATTCCCCACTCCGTTGTCCGTTGTCTCGCCGCCTGTATCGATGGTTGACGAAATAACAGGTTTTCCATCCATACTAGTTGTTTTTTGGAATTGCTTCGAGCAGCATAGAATTTCGGGGCGGTGCAGAGCGCCGACTTCGTTTTTCGTTTCACGAGCGGCCGATCTCTACGTGTCGTTATTTTATATCTGTTATTTTTTAGAAGTAGTAACGGTTGCGTTATGTTATTTCTAAATAATTGTTATAAAATAACAGATAAATAACAACCCATCACTACTTTGCCTTGTTTCTTGGATTTTTAGACCCGATACGTCTATACGATAGACTCCGGCTTAAATTACCACAATACACCAAAACGATTTTACTTTTACACTGGACGCGCGTTTCGCTAACCATCGGAAATTTTATTATCATTTGAAATTTTTACAACACAACGCGTCGCCCAATTCGATTTCATTTTCAGTATATTATTTTTGCTACCCGAAACAGCATTACATTACACAAACTTATTCCTACTTGAGAATTTTATAGATTCAATAACTGCAGTAGTAAAAAGCAAAATACTTAATTATTATGACATACTACAATTTTCATATTATTTCGTTGCGATCAACAAGAACGGTAACAGGGACGGCGCGGCGGGGTGGCGTGAAATAGAGTTAACCGGACAGTTCTAATTTCGGCCACATGGAGCGCTGCTATACGAAATTAAAAATTGGGTTGAAATACACCAAGTCTATAAATATAAATAATCTAGAAAATGTCTATCCGTGGCGGTCTCATCTATTCAAAAAAATTCCAATGGGTATTTCGCCACTTGTACTGTAAGAATAACTACAAAATAAAATAGTTACTTTATTTTATAGTATAGAGATAAATCATCTATATGTCACAAAATAGTACCTATATATTTCAATTGAAGGAATATACCAGATGCGTCTCAAAAGTGGCTCACCCCTATAACTTTTTCATTTTTTTCAGAAAAAAAAAACGAAATTTGAAATGTCAAAAGTTGACATATGATACGTTATTCTATTCAGAGTGTCATTTTCTATTGAATAAAGTGTAAGGTGTCATTTAAAAATCAAAAGTTGTAATTTGTAATCATTCCCGGTGAAAGAGGAAGTGACCAATAACAATTGAATATGTCTATCAATCCTAAGAAAAAAAAAATGATAACCACCAGTCGTCCAGTAAAATGAGTAAAATGATCTTTATCATGTTTTCCCATGGACCCTTTAATGCTGTTGTATAGTAGCAACTTGATAAGCCGCTGGGACCTGGTCGTCAGCGAGTTTCAACTGTTAGTTAAATATTCTTGGTTTATATTTTATCCATCATTAACGGTTTCCGAGTTACAGCGAACGTCCTTTTATTATTAGACTATCCAATACATAATTGATTCTTTATGTATTGCTTTAAAGTAATAATAAAACGTATAAAATCAAACTTACCTATATTTACTTAAAATACAGTAAGCCAAAGGTAGACAATGTGAGGATCCTTCAGGTAAGACCCTTCGGCAATATCCGTAAGTCCTTTCTCCAGTATCACTTGTAATTAATAACGTGTAAGCTTGAGCTGCACTACTGCCCTCTAGGGGAGGACTATTCGGATTTTCAGGAAAACAAAGATATTCAATTTCGCGAGGGACTTCCACCTAAATATGATAATATTATGTGATATATGATTCATATCTTTTGACAGCATACTGCAATGTTTTCAAGAGTAGTAAAGTTTGTCCAACAAGTCAAGGAAGATTTCGACGGACAACATTCAAAAAACGACAGAGAATAGAATTTGCCTGTGAATTACAATGCAGATATAACTGTCAGGCAATCTCCTGTTGGACATACTATTTTACTCAGCTGTAATAGATATTTACGATACAAGCGAGTTAACAGCATCATTATGTTACGCGTGTGAAAGTTGCACGAGTGTGTAGCACGAGCTGTGTAACCACACAAGTATCTTAATGGAGTTAACTCGCGTGTATTATACAATATTTTATCTACGTCAAACTATAAAAACACATAATGAATTTTAAAAATTATTGTACTTAGTACACTAGTTTAAAAAATGAACGATTGGGAAAGTATTCCCTCTGACATAGAAGAAGAGGCATTCAGAGCCATTTCTGGAGTGCTTCCAACAAGATCGAAACAGAAGTGTAAATATACATACATATAAATGAAAAATGGTGCACCGAAAAAAAAAGTACACAACTATAGAAATAAAAAGGTACTCATAACATATTTTTCTAATTTATCCGCTACTGATAAGCCTTCGTCTCTTTGGGCTTTCTATTCAATGACAGGCATTTACTTAAAAAATTGTTCAAACTGTATCATTAACATTTATAATAAATAAGTTTTCATGTTTTTATAATTATTATCAATAGAACAGTTTATTTGTATTTAGTAGGTATTTAGTCCAAAATAAATGTTTTACAAAATATTTTTTTCTCTTTGGTAGTTATCTAAACAAGGAGTGCGGCAATGAAAATGCGTGAGTTAAGAGTTTCTTAACTCACTGACGTAGATAATAGATTCTTAAACAACTTTCTAACAGAAATGGGCATTATTGAATAGCTTAGGTATATTATCTTCGTTTATTATTTTATTTCTTGTACGAACCGGCAACACTGTATGCCGCTTTTTATTTTGTCTCTCTATATTCAATGTATCCTGTATTTACCCATTGGGATGCAAAACATCGGGTTTTTACCCAAATTTCAACATATACCGAGTGTATGTCCATCATTAGACAGTTAAAGCAAGGCACAATACGTATACGTATCTCTCGACACGTAACACAGAAACTTACGTTACGTCTGCCGTTGCGTTGTCGTGTAAACAAGAGTTAAAGCAAGTATTTTGACGTACGTAATGCAAATGGTACATTTGTAATTCTAAATTGTTTTGTGAAACAATTTATTTCATTTTAAAATTGAAAATGGATATCTATTATTCCATTGATTCCACATTAAATTTATAAAAGTAATATCGAAAAATGAAGAAAATTATAAACGGAAATTATTTTATTACAGAAATTAGTCCTTACAACTTAAAATGTTCTTCGTAATAAAAAAATATTGGAAAACAGACACAGCTTTATGATTATTTATTAGATTCCATCTTTTAGAATCCTCATATGGATTTTAGCTATAAGAACTAGCATTTAATTAAATAGATTACAAATGAGTTTATTATGATGCTTAATATTTTCATACTAATTTATTGTAATAAAATAGGCCCAGTTCTGTGACACTGGACCCAAAATTTATGAAATAACTTAATTACTAGGGAGTTGTGGAAACGAGTTGTTTGTGAATTTGTACGTTCGGCATCATTCGGGTGAAAATCGAAACTCCTTCGGCTCGATACGTTTGCGTTTTGTACGTACGTAAAGACACGTAAAGATACGTATCACGTATCCGTAAACGCAAGTGAATTTCTCACTGCGCAAGCGTACATGTCAAACGATACGTTTACGTCTACGTCTTTGGCCTTGCTTTAACTGTCTATTGGTTTACAGATAATAAATACTTAATTTAAAAATAGTATACAGGATGTCTCAACAAATGATAACAATGTTATACAGACTGCAGAAATATTTTTAAATTTAAACTATCAATAAATTAAAGTAAAAGTTATTATATATCATAATATTATTATCATTTTTAAAGATGTTTTAATTGCATTTGAACATTTTGTATGAGCTGCATTCAGAACCTCGCAATTAGTGATCTCGTCTGGTTCTATAATTAGCGGAAAAGTTAAAAGTTTGTTAACTTTTTCCACTAATTGAAAATTCCTATTACTAATATTGACGTTCTGAAAGCTTAAATTCAAATTACAGGAACAAACTTCTACGCTAATTGAAATTACTCATTTATTCCACTAATTGCGAGGTTCTGAATGAAGCTTAATACGTACCTGAGGTGGATATTTGAATTTTATTTGAGCACAGTCTTGTACTTTTTCGATGATGAGGCAGCAATAAAAAAGCGTGTTTTTATTTACATTAGGTTTTTGATATTTTGGCATTGTTCTTTGGTAGGTCTGAAATTTGGTAATGATATCCGCTATTTTACTGTCATGGCGGCTGCCTTCTTTGGGTAGATTTCTAGGATTCGGATTCATTGTGACATTATTTAGTACATGAACTGAAAATAGATAATAAACATATTATTATTGTTGAATATTAAGAAAGAAACAGATCCACATCTGAATTTATATGCTTTCGCTCATTCAATGTCAGCTAATTACTTTTGTTTAATATACAGGGTGGTCCGAACTATATTCCGGAAACTTCTTCAGCATATTCTGCAGATAAAAATAAGTAAAAAAGTTCGTATAAATATGTATGTCCTAAAATGCTTAGTTTCGGAGATACAGGGTGTAGAAGTCATTTTTATTTTGATTTTTTCCAAATAATTTATGAAATAATGTCAATATTTGGATGAAAATTAGTGTCTGAGAGTTTTTTGACATGAGAAATTTGATTTTGATGTCAATATGACTCCTACCTGTAGAGGGCGCCACCTACATATTTTTTAACTGGTTTGAAGAGTAATAACTTATTGTCCGTACCTGTATAAAACTACTGATTAAACAAATATACATTTACGACGTTTTTTACGTAAAAAAGGTCTCTCACTAAAAATCACTACGAGTAACCAATCATGCACGTTTCCAAACTGGCTCCGGTCCGATTTTGCCCTAGAAGCGGATCGCTGTGGGATCGGAAATGGTGAGTACACACATGTCATACATGCTTCCGACTCCTTCGCGATTTCGGACTTCGGCTGGATACAATCGCCAGTCTTGATTCAACAATCGTCGCATGAAGTCGTGTGCGCAAAATGTTTAATAATTTTAGTAACAGTGATTTAGCCATGGTGACACTTTGTTTGGAAGAAGAAGATGAGGAAAATGAGAAAGCTTTTATAGAGAACAGCCAAAAAGGCAGATTTTATATCTTTGTAGTCGGAGTTTCGTTACTGCTCTTTGGTCTGGTCACACAGCACTGGATATTACCTCACTTCTTCAATTAGTTGCTCCGGTTTTATTGTTGACATTTTTTATTATTTTAATAAAAAACTAAAAATAACACAGCAAAAACAAAAATAAACAAAATAGTTTAAAACGACACTCGTCCCACAGCCGGCATCGACGAATAGACTGACAATCGGAACACGAACGGATGCAGGAACGGAGTCGAGTAGGAGCGGGGAAGAATCACGTATCGGAAAGGTGTAAACTACGCTGGTTAAAATAACGTAGTAACGTCATACCTTCTCATACAGTCGTCCGACTGAGTGATCGGAGCCGGATCGGAAACGTACATGATAGGTGTGTCCCGGCCTTATAGTTCACGAGATATTTGGAATCGAATTTATCTACAACCTGTCAGAATGGACATTAATTAAACATGTTGACTAAATAGTTATTAGACTGAAATCATAAATTTTAAAATGTTTTTGTGCCAAAAGGTCAACAGAAACTGTTTTATCATAACGCAAATTTATTTTTTCAGTCAAATAACTATCTACTCAACGTGTTTATTTTTTGTCAATAATGACATCTATTGACTATTTCCATTCTAATTATCTTGAGAACGGTTGCTCGTAGCGATTTTTACCAAGAGATATTGTTTTACGTAGAAAATGACGTAAGTGTATATTTTTATACTCAGTACTTTTATACAGGTATGGACGAAAAGTTTTTTACTCTTCAAAACAGTTAAAACACATGTAGGTGACGCCCCCTACTAACAGGAGTCATAATGACATCAAAATCAAATTTTTCATGTCAAAAAACTCCCAGGCGCCAATTTTCATCCAAATATTGACGTTACTTCGGAAATTATTTGGAAAAAATCGAAATAAAAATGAAACTTTTACACCCTGTATCTCCGAAACGAAGCATTTGAGGACATAAATTTATACAAACTTTTTTACGTATTTTTATCTGCATAATATGCTGCTGAAGTTTCCGGAACTGAAGTTTCTCTTAACACAAAACAAAACAACCAAAAACATAACCAAACCCAAACATTAACCTGTTAATGTCGACATTAACCGGACATCGGACTTTAACCGTAACATATACACCTACCTGATGACAGTTTTAATGAATTTTTAAGCTTTTCAATTTTGTTAGTCCCCGAAAATCCTGGAGAATCGTCTGTCCTTTTTAACCTGGCTGGTAAAGTTCGTCGTCTATCAGTTTCAAAGTTTTCAATAAGCCAACGAATTTTCGCATGATGATCATCGACAGTCGGACTAGGTGTAGTTTCAACATCAGATGCGAATGAAGAGAGCGATGAGTTGTCAGAAGCAATCTTGATGAAAGAAAAAAATAAATTAATGTTTGACAATTTTTTTTCTTTGCATATACAGGGTGTCTCAATAATCCGTGGACATAGAACTACTACGTATTTTTGGAATCAAAATAAGTTTATTGGATACAATTTACCTCTATACAAAAGTGCTTCGTTTGTCCGTTAGAAGGCATAACTTTAAAAAAATAAACACATTTTTTCAGATATTTGCAGAACCGTTATTCCGTTTTGAATGAAATTTTGGGTGTCTACGTTTTGCTAAGTGCTTTAATATTTGACTTTCACAAAAATCAAGAAAATGTACAGGAAGGGTGAAATCTACCCCCACCCTTACATACATTATAGTATACATATTTTCACACTCAACCGACCACCGACTTTTCTTTCGTAAAATGGTCCTTCTATATGGACTACTACCATATCCTTCTATATGGTATTCATAAAAAATAGTAGTTCTTCTATGTCTACGGAATATTGGAACCCCTGTATATTTTGTAGGTCTACTTTGGAAAAATAAATTCTCCAAATTATTTCTTCTCGACTATGCGATGTGACGCATTTTTACAAGAGACAAAAATGTAGTAAATCCTAGAGGGCCCATTTTACGAAAAGAAAATCTGTAGATCTGTAGTCGGTGGAGTTGCAAAATATTTACACTAAAATTTATGTAGGGTTGGTGGTAGTTTTCACCCTTCCCGTACTTTTTCTTGATTTTCATGAAAGTCAAATGTTAAAGCACTTTTAGCAAAACAGAGTCATCCAAAATCTCATTCAAATCAGAATAACGGTTCTTATAATATCTTAAAAAATGTGTTTATTATTTTAAAGTTTGATGCCCTCTAGCGAACAAACGAAGCACTTTTGTATACCGGGTGCGTCTTAAAAGTGGCTAACTCCTATAACTTTTTTATTTTTGCAGTTAAAAAAACGAGATTTGTTATGTTAGTATATGACATAAATTAGGATTGACCGACGTATTCAATTGTTTTTGGTCACTTCCTGTTTCACCGGAAATGACTACAACATTTGATTTTTAAATGGCACCCTCGGTATTTTTTTACTTTATTCGATAGGAAATAACACTCTGAATAGAATGACATATCATATGTCAACTTTTAACATTTTCGCATATGGTTTATTTGAAATTATATCTTGCGGTTCGTAACGAAAATTTCACTCGAAATATCAAGTGTGTGGTACCAAATTATTCGTAAAAAAATGCTTTTTCCAAATATGCTAATGAGTCACCCTCCATTTGATGAGTTCCATTTGAAAAAATTGAGAAATGATTAAATATACGATTTGAGCATTTTCTAACTGACCAGGACAAGACACTAAAAACATTAAACGACCAAATCTATTTTTCCAAGGCTCCTTGATTAAGAATTAGTGTTTTTAACATAACCATGGCACTCTAGATTGAATTTTAAAATTCAATTTTGTTTTAAGCGAGAATGTCAAAAGTTGACATATGATACGTCATTTTATTTAGAGTGTTATTTCCTATCAAATAAAGTAAACAAATACCGAGGGTGCTATTTAAAAATCAAAAGTTGTAGTCATTTCCGGTGAAACAGGAAGTGACCGAAAACAATTGAATATGTCAATCAATCCTAATTTATGTCATATACTAACATACCAAATCTCGTTTTTTTAACTGTAAAAATAAAAAAGTTATAGGAGTGAGCCATTTTTGAGACGCACCCGGTAGAGGTAAAACAAGTCTGTGTTAAACAAATTGTGTCCAATGAACTTATTTTGATTCCAAAAATACGTAGTAGTTCTATGTCCACGGAATATTGGGACACCCTGTATTTAATGCAATAAGTTGTTATACTATATTTAACCGCTCACGAATAGAATGAGAATCCAGCATTTATATGCTATTATTTTTTAGGTAGATATTTTATAATCTGTGTGGGAAAGAAAATTCCAATTTTTTAGAGAAATCAGATAGTGTCAATCAAATTCAAAACGTTGTTAAAATCAACATATAAAGATATCATCTTATATCATAATATTTTCCTAAAAATATTACATAGATGTATAAAACTTTAAATTATAAAAAATATAAAATATATTATTACTTTAGAATAACATAATATCGCAGATAATATTTTGTTAAATATTTTCTCACGTATGGAAATTTTATAAGGAAATATTATGTAGAATTATAAATAAAAAACGATAAAAATTAGAGACATAATTAGAAATTTTTAAGTCAAATCAATTTGAATTAACAAGCGCTAGAAAACGCGATAAGCTGTACCCATAGTACATATAAACATTTCTACTATGTCAAAGATTACTGTACCCGAGTATACCGTAAAGAATTCTTACGGAATGAAAACAAAATGAAATAAATGTCTAGATAACAGGTTTAATTAAAATAATTACTGCAGAAAAAATATAGTAATATTGAGATTAATATTATCCAATAAATCGCCTATGGTAACACTACAGTTAGAAGCAGTTAATATATTGTCCCTCTGGCTTCTTATTTAGTGGGAAAACGACATAAAAAACGATATTCCTTTTCAAAATACTGAACTTAAAACTAGACTAAAAGCAATTAATAAGAAATAAGGCCTTGTTAAATAAGGCATAATTAGCCTAAAAAAATAATATGTGGTAATAAACCACTGAAAAATATTAAATTAGTAAAATAAAATACAAAGAGAATAAAAAAGTACCTCTTCTCCCATATTATTCGAAGTTAAGTCCATAGAGTGCAGCTGATAAAACAGTGTAATAAAATATGTATCAAAACTTGGTTCAACATAAAGCGTGACTGACTGAAATTTTAGGGAAAGATATAACGAGCGCTGATAATTCCCAGAATATCAGAGTAGGGAAAACCCGCCTGTAAATTGTATAGAGAGGGAATGGGAACACCAAAGAACTTTAGATTATTTTTAATCTAAGTTAATGACCAATAAAAAATGGCGAGATCTTAAATAGCAAATATCAACTCATGTAGGCAATTATACTAAATTTCTTTTTTAACCAAATATAAAACATAGAAATAATGACTAACCTTATTAATTCCAGAACTAGATTATTATTTAAAAATAACGCTAAATGCATAATATTAGCGCAAATTAATTAAATATTACCTAATAAAATAATAATTTTAAATTATTAAGATTCCCAGTAACTTTAATGAATCTGATTGAATACTACCCTTCTACATAGGCCAGTAAGCGAGGATAAAAATAGGGTATTGCCTCCGAATTCTTAACACCCGAACTGATTGACGTGAAATTTTAACAGTTAATAGAGATATATATGAATCAAAAGTCACATAGTAGCGATGTGTGCTTTCACCCTGGGGGTGAGTGCCACCCCTTTTTCGGGGGAAAAATAAATCACCCATTTTAATTGCAAAAACCAATAAAGGGATGAATTCTAAGCAAAAAATATTCTATAACATTTTTTTAGAAAATTCATATTTTCCGACTTATTTAGGATTGAGAATCTTGATTTTTCATCTAAATACTGCATATTTTTTGCCATTTTTTATAAATGACTCGAAAACCTTGCGTTTTATCGCAAAACTTATATAAAGCAGAAATGAAGCTTTTGGAATAACGAATCGATTCATTTTTTATTGATTACCGTAAGTGTAATAATAGCCGAGTTATCACTCTGTAAATGTGAAATGTGAAACTTTTTACAGTAAAATAATGGCGGAAGAACATATTTTTCGAAGAAAATGAATATGACCGTTTTTAATGTGCTTGAAAAGACCTTTTAAATGCTTTTTAAAAGGACTTTTGAAGTTTGTAGCTCAAAAACTCGCGGAGTTATGATAAAAATAAAATGGTCACCTCATTTTTTCAGAAAAAAATTAACAACAAAATCGATGACTAAAATCATGAAAATAAAACTATCAATTTATAGGAAATTACATGACCTACAAATTAACCTCTATAGTTAAACAGTCTTGAACTCTTCATTTTTACGAGATTTTTGGGTTTTAAGGCTTCAAAGAAGGTGGTTCTTACACGCAAATCTAACTAAAAAAACGTAATATCTACGAAATAAAGAGATCTACAGAAAAATTTAAAGAGAGCAATAATATTGCAAAAAGACCTTTAATTTGTATCTGTTGTATTTTTTAGGTATCTTGCTTAGTTTTTGAGATATGTAAAAAAAAAAAAATTTTTGAAAAAATAAAAAAATTAAATTTTCATTATTTTCAACTTTTTTCCAAATTTAGGCAGTCTAAACCGCTCTAACTTACAGAGCCCATTGTTAGTACCTAAATATAGTCAGCCGTACATGTATTACGCTTAGTTATTATTTCTATGATTTTAGTCATAGATTTTGTTGTTATTTTTTTTAGAAATAATGAGGTGACCGTTTTATTTTTATCATATGCTCCGCAAGTTTTTGACCTATAAACTTTTTTAAAAAAGCATTTAAAAGGCCTTTTTAACCACTTTAAAAATAGGGATATTAATTTCCTTCGAAAAATGTGTTCTTCCGCAATTATTTTACGGTAAAATGTTGCAATTTAGTTTTCGAAAAATAAAAAATCACATTTACAGAGTGATAACTCGGCTATTATTACACTTACGGTAATCAATAAAAAATGAATCGATTCGTTATTCCAAAAGTTTCATTTCTGCTTTATATGAGTTTTGCGATAAAGCCCAAGGTTTTATCGCAAGGTTTTTCGAGTTATTTATAAAAAATGGCAAAAATATGCAGTTTTTAGATGAAAAATCAAGATTCTCAATCCTCAATACGTTGGAAAATATGAATTTTCTAAAAAAATGTTATAGAACATTTTTTGCTTAGAATTCATCCCTTTATTGATTTTTGCAATTAAAATGGGTGATTTATTTTTCACCCCCGAGAAGGGGTGGCACTCACCCCCAGGGTGAAAGCACCCATCGCTACTATGTAACTTTTGTTCTTACATATATCTCTATTCATTGTAAAAATTTCACGTCAATCGGTGCAGGTGTTCAGAATTCGGACCCTAAAACCCT